CTGGACAATCATTAGAATATATTTGAAGTAAGGATCTCAGTATTATATACAATAGATTGAGTATGGGATACGACATCTTCAAGATTTCTGATTGGTTATTTAATATACAGTAATGGGTATAACATAATTAAGTCTTTAGGGCATTATTCTTGAAGTTTCCAAAAGTTTTGAACTTCTTTCCCCTGAAGCAATTTGAAGTTATGGCTAAGAAAATTGCAGATGTCCCCGAGAGCAAGAAATATTTAAATTGCTTCCCTGAGCCTAAAGAAGAATCTTTAGAGAATTTCCTGGGTCTTCACAATGGGACATTGTTTCCATCTGAGCATCATGGGCAAATGAAGAGTGCCATAGTCTAAACTGAACTGCCCAATATTTGTTATCCTCTTACTTTTAGTCTAGCAGAACCCAAATTCACTCCCTTTGTAAACCTGTTTGGTTGTAATTTGGAAATTTTTGAAACCATTTAAAACTGTACCTTTGTCATGTTTTCCAGATAATATGTCCTGTGACATTATGGCTCTCCAATGGTAACCCCCTCTTCAAAAATTCCTCATCCTCACAGAAAATTTTGTTGGATAGCCTAAAAACAGAAGATCAAAGCAAAACAATCGACTCTGTGTTGCAACCAAAGAGGTGAGTTGACCTTCTATATAGAGGTAACTGCTGAAAAGTACTCACAACACATCCAAGGGGGAGACAGACTTATGAACTGAGTTGAAATAAACTATGTGTTTTGGAGATGTGATAATTCTTATTAGAGAAAGTGTATAGGGAATAGAATTAAAAAATTTGAAGAGAATTATCTTAGATATGGTTAGAAAATGAAGAAGAAAAAGTGAAAAAGTATGAAGAAAAGAGTAGCCGCACATCCAGAGTAATTTGAATTTCTAAAACAGGTGATGTTTAGGTCTATAGTTTCTAACTGGAAATAAAAGTTTCATTGGGTCAAAATATAGTTTCTTGTTCCTTGCTTTATTAAAAGTGTCTATACATCTAACAATGTCATTTCAATTTGGTCCAGTGGGTTTGCTGTACAATAGGCAACAGATCTGCACTCTTGACCCCGAATGCAAAGTGGCCCGGTGTGACCAAAATATGATTCCCTGGCAATTTTCCTCACAGCACTATCTCAGTTTTATTTGGTTCACTTTATCAAATGTTCGTCTGGTGTTAATCATGAGTAGACAATGTTCTAGCATGGTTCATGGAGCCTCTAACTAGGGGTGCTATGTGGAACACTTTATTACTTGCTCTTGCATTATTTTTGAATTTGTGAAAAAAAGGAAATGAAGAGTCTTTAGCTAATAGAAATAATTTTGGACTTATGTTTGCTTGAGGATTGTTTTTAATATTTAAATTTTTGTTGCTGGTAATGCATTCATATAGTGACTTTAGATGTAATATTTGTGAGGCACACACATGTTTAGATTTTAGATGGATGAACTAAAATGGTCTTTATTAAAAAATGTCAACCTGTGAGTTTCTTGTTTTAAACTGCAGTGGGCTTTTGTTATAATAGTATAACACTATTCACTGCAAAGTGAGTAGACTTTGTTATAATGTGCATCCATCGTATATCACGGCTGTGATAAGAAACAGTAGATTAAGTTGGACAAAAAGTGACTTGGGACCTGATTGATAACATTGTAAGATACTATTGTAGGAAGGTGACACTGGGGACAGAAGTGTAAAGAACCTGAGAGAAGAACACATCAATAGAATATAGGAGGAGAACAAAATAGTACTTACCATATCCATGTGTTTTGCATGCTTTACATTATTTATTCTCCTCAGAACCCCATAAGGCTATTAAAGTCCCTATGCTATAGATGAGGATAGTAAGACTCAGATAAGTTACATAAATTGCCCAAGATAACAGCTGGCCAAGATAGAATTTAAACGCTTGTTCTCTCTATTAGACAAAGTGGACTTGATACAATAATAGCTACATAGTGGCAGTGGTTAGAATCATGATTTTCACAGTGAGATTGCTTCTTAGTCATCATTTACCAGGGAACTGAGATTTGGGTGGCTTTATTGATAATATAGCATTAAAAAGGTGAATCTGGGATTCAGATAAAGAAAAAAAAAAGGCATGCCTCTCTAGTGTATAAAAGAATCCCAAGGCATTAAGCATGGAGTTGATGGAAATAAGAGCAAAATAGAATGAAAGGAGAAATATCCTAATAATAGCTAAAGGCACATCTGATTAGTCAACTGGTTGAAATAGGTCCAAAGGACTTAATTTAGACCTTAAACTTATGCTGTTTTGTGAATAAGGAGAAATGGCCTATATGTTAAACATCTGTTTGCAGAAATTACTTTTTTTAATTTGTAAATTAATTGGAACACTTTCAATGGGTTCTGTGTTCATGGACAAGAATACTACTGGAAATTTATAAGTGGGCAATGGGGGAAAAGGATTGTTATGAGGAAAAATTAAAACAGATGGCTTGAGACATTTCGAGACAAGGTTTTTGTAAGTCAAATCCACCATTCCTGATTCCTGGGTGATGGCAGTAGCTATTTTCTGTGAAATCACCCAGAGTGAGAAGTATCAGAGAAATGCTTTGTTAAAAAATATTTCTTCCTCATAGGCTTTCTTTGTATCCTGTTCAATTGAACTTAGGTAGCAATCAATAAGATTGGCAATTAAAAAGTGTTTGCATTAGAGAATGAGAAGATGAGTCACCAACTGGGAGACAAATACTCTAATCACATGAATGATAAACAACTTTCAAAATGCAGCAACATAATAACAAACAACCCAATTGAAAATGGGCAAAAGATCCCCAAACTGGCAATGATGTGGAATCAACCCAAATACCCATTAACTGATCAGTGGATAATGAGAATGGATATGAGTACACATCATGGAATACTATTCAGCTATTGAAAAGAATGAAATAATGTCTTTTATAGCAACTTGGATGGAGTTGGAGAACATCATCCTAAGTGAACTAACTCAGGAACAAAAAAACAAACACCATGTGTTCTCACTTACAAGTGGGAGCTAAACTAAGGATATGTAAAGACACAGAAAATGGACACTAGAGACTCAGAAGGGGAAGAGGGGAAGAGGTGGAGGGTCAAAAAATCACCTATCAGGTACAGTGTGCACCGTTGATGGTGGTGGGTTCATTTAAAGTGCAGACCAAAACTATTTGTGCACCTCAAGGCTATTGAAATAATAATTTGAAAAGTTAGCCAATTCTAAAAAAAAATGGGCAAAAGAATGATGGTGCATGGAGTCCCAGTTGCTCAGGAGTCTGAGGCAGGAGAATGGCTTGACCACAGGAGTTTGAAGCTAGCCTAGGCAACAACAGCAAGACCTTGTCTCTAAAAACAAAACAAAACAAAAGGGCAAGCAATATGAACAGACACTTCACTAAAGATAATATAAGGATGGCAAAATAGAATATGGAAATTTTACAATATGCAAATGAAATGCAAGTTAAAGTCATGATGAAATGTGACTATATACCTTTTAGAATGGATAAAAAATATTGATCATACTAATTGTTGATGAGGATGGGAAACAAGTGGAACTCTCATACATTTATGGTTAAAATGCAAAATGGATGCAACCAATCTAGAAACTATTTGGCAGTTTCTTACATACTTAAACATGCTTATTATCTCATTCTTGGATATTTACTGTAGAAGAAAGCTTACGTTCATACAAAAATTGGAGCACAAATATTTATAGCAGCTCTATTCATAATTGCTCTAGACTGGACATAATCCAAATGTCTTTCAAAAGATCAATGAATGGGCAAAATGTAATACTTCTATCCAATGGAATACTATTTAGCAATAAACTGAATAAATCTCAGTGGCTTTATGCTAAGAGAAAAAAGCGCAATTCCCATGGTTCATATAATCTCATTTATATGACATTCTGATATAGCTACAACTTTTGAGACAGAATGCATATCAGAGGTTGCCAGGATTTATGGGTTGGTGGAAGAAGTTTACCAGAATATAACAAAGTAGTATTTTCGGGGTGATGGATGAGTTCTGTGTTCTGGTTATGGTAGTCGTGAAATTAATCTATACATCTTTTAAAATTCCTAGAACTGTACACCAAAAAAAAAAAAAGTCAGTTTATGATATGATATTTAACTGTAGGATAATTAAAAAGTGACATTTTAACAAATGCTAAAAGTGATTTCATACCCTGCCAGAAAACGGTGCTTGCACTTTCACAAGAAGATCTCAGATTTGGGGGCTTTTTATGAATTGGACTTGTTTTTTGGATAATCAGGCACTTAAACATTGGTTGGATTAATTTCTGTCTATTCTTCTTTCAGATTGACACATTTCTTTCAGTGTTGGAATACTGGTGGGTTACTGTTGAGTTCTCTTGACCTGGGAGGCAGACAATATTTTTAAAGTAATTTATCAAATCTTTTATACAACACATTCTGTAGTGCTTTAACAATTCACAGAAAAGCCTCAAGCAAGCATGGGCCACAGGCAGACAGACTTGAGTTTGAGCCTCATCTATGCTCTATATTAGTTATATGAATTTAGGCTTAAGCCTCTCATGCTAGGTTTCCTTACTTTTAAAATGATAATGTGAGGGTTTAAATGAGGTAACATGAAAAAACCCCACAAAGTTCCTGGCCCAGAATAAGTGATCAATACAGCAGCCCTCTCATTCTTTTCCTCCTACATTGATTATTTCTTTTACTAACATTTCCTATCTTTTCTCCTACTCTTCCCTACTTTCTTTCTTCCATAGTTGTGAAAAAAGTAAAATGGAAAACTCCCAAAGTATTGCATCCATATTTTCATGTGGATATCCTTGTGTTTTAGTTTTACTTTAGTCTCCAAATCCTAAGTCCTGAAGCATTATTTTCTTGTTCAGTATTTAGATTTTTCCATAGTCTAATTGGGTTTATGGCAAATTTTTATATTTGTTGCATTGGTATACTTGAATTCAGCATGGTAAAGAAATTATTATTATTATTTTTTAATTATTTGACTTATTGCAGGAAAAAGAGGAATGGTAAAATGGAATGGGAAAACCAAACCATTCTGGTGGAGTTTTTTCTGAAGGGACTTTCTGGCTACCCAAGACTAGAGTTACTATTTTTTGTGATAATCTTAGTAATGTATGTGGTTATTCTTCTGGGCAATGGTAACCTCATTTTAATCAGCATCTTGGACTCTCACCTTCACACATCTATGTACTTCTTCTTGGGGAACCTCTCCTTCTTGGACATCTGCTACACCACCATCTCCATTCCCTCCACACTGGTGAGCTTCCTCTCAGAAAGAAAGACCATTTCCTTCTCTGGTTGTGCAGTCCAGATGTCCCTCGGGTTGGCCATGGGGACAACAGAGTGTGTACTTCTGGGCATGATGGCCTTTGACCGCTATGTGGCTATTTGCAACCCTCTTAGATATCCCATTATCATGAACAGAAATTCGTATGTGCCCATGGCAGCTGGGTCCTGGCTTTCAGGGGTTGTCAACTCTGCAGTACAAACTACATTTGTGATACAATTGCCTTTTTGCAGAAATAATGTCATCAATCATTTCTCTTGTGAAATTCTGGCAGTCATGAAATTAGCCTGTACTGACATCTCAGGCAACGAGTTTATCATGCTCATGGCCACAACATTGTTTACATTGATGCCTCTGGTCTTGATTGTCATCTCGTACTTACTAATAATTTTCAGCATCCTCAAGATCCGCTCCTCTGAGGGCAGAAGCAAAGCCTTCTCTACATGCTCAGCCCATTTGACTGTGGTGATAATATTCTATGGGACCATTCTTTTCATGTACATGAAGCCCAAGTCTAAAGAGACACTTAATTTAGATGCCTTGGATGCTACCGACAAACTTGTATCCATGTTCTATGGGGTGATGACACCCATGATGAATCCTTTAATCTACAGTCTCCGAAATAAGGATGTGAAAGAGGCAGTAAAACATCTATTGAACAGAATCTTCTTTAGCAAGTGAGTAGACAATGTATACAATTATGAATACACTGAGAATACTTGGGAATTATGGGAGAATTTTGGTTACATTTTTGTTCTTTTCCTGTAATTTCATATTTCATGTGAACATTTTTATGATGAGATATAGCATTTCAAAATTACTGCTTGCTCATTATACAGAATTTATAAGATATAGGACAGTAGGAAGAAAAAAAGCAGAGATGTCAACTATTACTCTGACATTGGGAGATAACTACTTTCTGACATTTTAAACAGTATCTTTCATATTCTGTTTATTTTGTTATAATAAAATTGAGTGTGGTATGCCTTTTTATGTTCACTTTTTTACATAACATTTCATTAGATCTTGCAAAATAAATGAAGCCCTCTGTTATGAAAGAAGCAAATTAAAAACCCCAAAATATTGTACCCACATTTTCCTGTGGAGAGTCTTGTGTTGCAGTTTCCTATTTATTTCCAAATCCTGTTACTTCTTGAAACACCATTTTCGTGTTCAAGTACTTACATTTTTTTCTGTGGAGCTTTAGGTATGCTGAGCTTTTGGGACTATCAAGGAAGTAGATAAATAGAACTTCAGGGTGGGGCCTATTGATCAATCAGGATATCCTTGCTTTATCCCCCTTCTTTGCTCAGTTTGTATGATAGTGTTAGCATTAATAACATTTTGAAAACTTTTAATGGGTTTGAAAACCAGTCTGTCTGTCCAGATTATAATATGGACAAGTGTTGGGCCAGATGGGGTGTCATATCAGTGCCCACTTAGAAGTCACATTCCTTTGCTTTCCCTAGAGGATTCCAATATTTTTCCAAATCTTAGAATATCCAAGCTTTTGAATTCTAGTAAGAATACCTGTATTTATTTACTGTCTCTGTTACTAACTAGTTTTGTGACCCTAGTGATCTGAGGAAGCAGAAAATGGAGAGGCTGCCAGACAAGAGGTGACATTATCTTGCTTTTCCTTAATTTTTTTTTTTTTTTGAGTTGGAGTCTCACTCTGTCGCCCAGACTGGAGTGCAGTGGCTGCTCCCGGCCACCACAGCCTCGACCTGCTGGGCTCCGGCGATCCTCCCACCTCAGCCTTCCAAGTACCCGAATTACAGGCATGTGCTACCACGCCCGGCTGATTTTTTTTGATTTATCGTAGAGATGAGGTCTCGCTGCCCAGGCAAGTCTTGAACCTGTGGGCTCAGGACTCACCTCAGCCTCCCAAAGGCTCGCGATTACAGGCTGAGCCACCGAGCCCGACTTTTCCTTAATATTTTACTTTATCTGAAGAACACTTCTAATCTACAGTCCAATATGAGAAAGTGTGTTCAGGAGTAAACATATTCTAGGAAATCCATTTAGCTGGATAAATTTTAGAATAATAGATCAGTGAATTTAGAGGATATTGGACATAAGCATATTTAACATAGACAAATAAGAGTTAAATGCTTGTGGACTCTTTGGGTATAGTTATTCATTTAAACTTTTCAAGTTCACTTTTTAATTTTAGTGGAAGAAATGTTAAAGAGTCATGAACTATATTTAATTACATCTAGCTTTCATCACAGTTATTTTCAGATTAAATCTGATGGCAAAGGTTGAGACCATTCCATTGATACATCATATTTACACGCTGACAAAATAGGCTATAAGAACCCATTAGTTATAATACACTAGCTCATAAGTCTTTTTTTTCCACCCTGAGAATTCCAGGTAAGTGGAAAATCTCTGGAGTCAGGCATTTTATTTTTGACCCATAGGCCATTTTTGAAACTCAGGCATTAATTGTGTTTTTCTTCACAGCTTAAGTCCAACCACTTCATAAACTCTCTGAGATGACTGATTTAATTCCTAGTTCTGTATCATACTTATAAACTTTTTGATAGAAAATTAATTAAGAAGTAGAAGTTTTAAAGCACATATTTTTTCTCACAGGAAAAAGACCAGGAAGGTTTTTCCTTCATTGGATTGTACAGTAAAGTTCTGAAGAAAAGAAAGAAAAGCATGTCACCTATCTTGATGTAGTCATGTGTAAAAACTTACTGGGCAAAGATACAATAATACTGATATAATAGTTTATTTTAATACTTGAGCATCTAGAGTGTTTTTTATTCAGAAAATTTATTTTGGAAGCTTATAGAGAATATTTTTATTGTTGTTGATAACTATTATTTTTTAACTTGGGAGCATAAATACACTTATCTAGTATCCCAGGTGTGCATCAGTGTATATATGTATGTCTGTGTGTGTTTGTAACGTGTACATGTGTAGTTTGTGTATTCTTGTGTGATTTTTCTACCAGATTCCAAAATCTACAAATGTAAAGATTTCTCTGTCCCCTTTTTCTCTATTCTCTTTGCACTCAATTTAGAACATGACATATAGAATATGATTCAATATACATTTTAAATCCATGAATGGTAAAATTATATGAAAGGAGTTGCAACAGGAGTAAATCATATGCCTTTATATTTCACTCAAGTTCCCAAACAGTTCATGATTAGGCGTTAAGAATAGAGATACAACAAAAGAGCCAAAATGACATTTCTTTTATCATTTTTTGAAAGGTGCTTTTATGCCTGCTCAATTCCAAATACCCTAAGTTTGAGGTCATGTTAAATTTTACAGCCTTGGGGGATTCTAAAATGAACATTAAAATAAAAATGTAGCAATGTATTGGTTATCAGCTAATTCACATACATTGTCTCACTAAAATCCTATGATGTTAAGCAACAGTGACATTATCTCATAGATGAGGTTGCAAAGCTTAGGGAATTAACATACCTTGCCCAAACCCCACAGCATGCAAGTTATAGAGAAGTATATGCACCCCGATACTTGTTCTTGAGTTACTCTTTTTTTCTACAACATGTTGCTTTTCTAGGTTTCTACTCATTAGGTCTAACACCAGTATCTCTCAGCAGCATATCTAAAATGATCAACGAAACTGTTACCTGCATCTCAATGTTCATCACAAGTATATTAAATGTTCTGAAAACCACTTTAAAAAAGGAAATTCATTTAATTCCTTAAAAAGAGCATTGGCACCATCACATGTTGTGTCTAAAAATGATGCTTGATCACAGTAATGCAAAATTAAGTAGTAAATTAGGGGGAAAACCTGAAGTTAATTGGGATAGGAGGAGAAGAGGGATTTGACATTAGCACTAATCTTTCAGAAGAAACTTTATAAGAAAGTAGAAAGATGTTTCGTGTTGTTTCAGTAAAGATAACATTTATTTTATTAAAAGGAATGCTTTCCTAATTTATGGTGTGTAAGTAACATTTTATCTTTGAAGTTATAAAATGTTCAGTAGAATTTTATGCTTTTTGGGATTTCAATTACCTTTCATTTATTTATGCATCTACAATCTCAAAAGAAATAGATGTTCATTGCAAATACTACAAAATATGAAAAGTAGAAATTAAAATATGGATATATTTTTATATGCATTATATATAATTTATAAATATATTGCACATTATTTATATGCAATAACAATTGGTGAATAGAAGTAAATACATTTTCAGACAATAGATACATTCAATATATATTTCAAATTATAATAAAGTCAATGTTTATTTTTCTGCTATTGGTTTTTTTCACTCAAAACATATTTCCCAGATGTTTATGTTTATATACATTGATATTTTAAAGAAATGCTTAGTATTTAACTATATGGATATAGCTAAGTATATATATGACCAATCCCTTGTCATTTGTAATAGTCTCTCATATTTTGATATTACAAACAATGATGCTATCATATTTATCAGAAAGCAATTTATCTTTATATACTAATTTTCTTTTTGTTTTTGAGTTGGAGTCTCACTCTGTCGTCCAGACTGGAGTGCAGTGGCCGCCTCTGGCCACCGCAGCCTTGACCTGCTGGGCTCCGGGATCCTTTCGCCTCAGCCTTCCAAGTAGCTGGAACTACAAGCGGGCACTACCACGCCCGGCTGATTTTTTGATTTATTGTAGAGATGAGGTCTCGCTGCCCAGGTGGGTCTCGAACCCGCGGGCTCAGGCAATCCACTCACCTCAGCCTCCCAAAGGCGCGGGATGATATACTAATTTTCTTACTGACCACATTTGAACTCTTATTTTCTCTGATAGATCTGTAATTGAAGCTCTTAGAGAAAAAATACTATGATATGCAATAAATTTAATATTACTTTTGTTTTCCAATATTTGTACTTATTTATTGACAAGTTGCCTTGATCTACATTTTCAGCACAAGGTTCAATAATGGTTATAATAAATCACTTTACTTTTCACTGACTTAAATGGAAATGATTCTTAAAATGATAGCTATTGGTTTATATTAAATATGTTTTATATACTACTTCATAATAGTTCCAGAAAGGAATAAATGATTTTATTAAAAGTTTTTTTTTCACATGACATATGTGGCATTTCTCAATCTATTAACATAATTAAATTTATAAATATATTTTGGCCTTGATCATATTTTATTATAATGAATCAATTTGTTAAAAATCTTTTAGGTTCTGACAATATTTTACTTGGAATTTTTGAATCCACACTAAAAGTATAATTGTAATTTTAATCATGGATAGAACAGTGAAGCAGAAAATCACAAAGATGTAGAAAACTTGAAACCAAGTTGAGCTACTAAATGTCTGTAAAATACTCAACCAAACAACAGCAGAGTATACCTTCTTCTTAAGTACATATGGGACATTTTGCAGATAGACCAAATACTAGGCCATGAAACAAACCTCAATATGTTGAAAAGGATTACAATCATTCAATGTATGTTCTCCAACCAAAATGAAATTAAATTAGAAGTCAATAACAGTGAAATATGTAGTAAATTCACAAATATATGAAAATTAAGCCATATACTTTTGAATAACTAATGCATCAAAGAAAAGAATCACAATAGAAACACTTTGAGATAAATAAAAATGAACTACAGCAAACCATGGTTATTTAGCACAACATATTATAAGATGTGGCAATATTTACAGGGAAATTTATAGATATAACTGCCAGTGATAAAAAAGAAGCAA